TAACGAAATATGCCTTATATCAGTCATCGCATATTCATGGACGGACTTCTAAAAGCTCAAAAAATTTATATATTTTAAGAAGTTTACTCGGCCACGTTCCACTTCTTTCGTTGTCATCACAATGATTCGTGAATTTTGCTGCCAAACCATTCGCCAAAAATCGTTTATCGTATTCGGTAGACAACCCTGCGTCGAGATATATCGTCGATTCAAACCGTTAAATTCCGGATACTCATTCGACAGAATCTAAAAATACAACCTGATCTCCTATCATCATTAGTTCTCAGTTCATTCATACTGCAACATAACTACTGATCAGTGAACTCAACAACCAAGTAATAGTGAACATATAAACAAACCTCAATACGGTTCGCATTGATATAATCATCACAATTCTGTTGTTGCTGGTGTAATTGGGAATCATGACTGCATTTCAGGATGATTCGTGTATGATCGTATGGTATTATATTCTTATATCGATTCTTAGCAACGTTTTCAGTTTTTCTTCCCTCACGTAAACTCATAAACTGTGGCTGCTCTTGCTGTTGCAACTTCTGCAATAGACAAAAAATTACTTCTTCATTTATTCTTCTCACTCGCGATGCATTTTCATTTTAATTTACGGTTTCAGTAACCTTCCACATCAAGTCATCACTAAAATGTGAATGGTTCCAAGGAAAGCTTTTTGAATTGCGAATCGCCTAAAAAAATCAAATGCTTCCGTGATCCAGTTCCATTCACTAATATCAATATCAAAGAACAACACCAAGAAAAGACTAAGAATTTAAATCGCTAACTTCAAATTCGTCCGCAAAACCGTCTTTACCCGTAATTCGATCAACTAATTTGAGTCGCTGGAAACGATCATCGATACCTGTTGCAGGCACTCGAGTGGATGGAAGGGGCTTCAATGAAAACAAATATCTGTGAATACTCGATTCATACAGTTTCATCACTTCAGGATTGTTTATGAAAATGCTTTCGAATGAATCCGCCCGAAGCATATCGATAAAATGTTAACAACTGACGACATGAAAAAATCCATTCGAATCCAAAATTGGTACCTGTTTAAGATGCACCACAGTACCCGCTTGATCCACCATTGGAT